AAACATGCAAAATTAAAGATCTTTTTGTTATATTTATTGAATCTCTCTGAACTCAAGGACAGGAAGAAACTATGTAAAACTGAAAAACCCAAATGGTTTATAACTAAAAATGACCTTGCAGGAGATTTCTATATGAAATGCATAATAATCTGCTCTTACACATCTGGCTTATACATCAGCTGGTTGGCTTTAAGCTTTAATTCCTAAAGCTCTCAAGGCAACAGCTCTCTGTATTTATGGCTAAGTCTTCACATTTATGTTTCAATATTTCGCCCAAAACCTCAAACACCAAAAATGGAGCTGATTTGGGCATCAGTCAGTAACCACTTGCCTTTGAAATGTTTGATAGTTTTGCTTTTTAAAATTGTCTTTATGAAACATGCTGGTGAAACTGGCCAGGAAGATTCTTCTCCTGGTCTTGATTAATATATTTACTCATTTTCTGATTTAACCACTGAACTCTTACAGTACAGACATGAAGTATGTTTAGACTTTGCTTGGTCAGGAAGCCTAAGAAGCCTAGGATAAACTTTAGAAACAGCAAAATCGTGGGGACGTTAGAGGGGCAGAATTTAAAAGAAAACACATTTCTTCATTGAAATTTCATGTAAACTTAACAATGAAGCTGTGATTTGTGCTTTGAAGAGGAGAACAAGAAGAGAAAAAAATTATCCAGAAATGACAGGAGAGGTTCATCTCGTGTTTTTTGGGGATCCCTTTGGAATGACAGCAGCAGCAGTTCCAGCCCCAGGTCAGGCCCATCCTCACCCCCTGCCCATGGAGCCCAGGCAGCCCTGGCAGGATCTGACACTGCAGATGCTGCCCCAGGAGATGCTGCACCAGCCCTGCCCATGAATATGAAAGGTTCTGCAGCCCCTTTGCAACCCTCAGCTGAGCTTTGCTCTCTTCCACATTGCTACATGTAATTAGAGTTTAGCAAAGAGTCTGTAATTGATTTAATTGCTGTTACTTTTCTCTTCAGGAAAACATCTAAAACCAGATCATTAACCCCTCAGCTTTCACTGCCGTCTGGGATTCTTCAGTGGCATTTCTCAGGAGTTTTAAATTTTATTTTGTTTCATAAATGCTGAAATATGAAGTGCTACTTCTCAGGGTGCTACGTGCATATCTGCATTGGACAGGGTTCTGCTTAGCAGTGACAGCACCTTTTGAAATGGTGAAAGAGAGAGAGA